GGGGGGGGGGGGGGCAGAGGCGGAGCAGAGGGCAGAAGGTAAGTGCGACGCACGGTCATGTGCAGCCTTCAGTTCGGCCACGGCGATGACGGCATTCGAGACGACGACGGTCACCTCGATGGCCGGCGCGCGGGAGGCAAGGATGGCCAGCGCGCGGACGACATCCGCGATCACCAGGCGCGACTGGATAACAAATAGAACCAGCTGGTTGGTGTCGATGGTGACATTTTTGATGGCAGTAATCAGCGGATGGGACAGGATGCGGTCGAAGAGGGGCTTGATGTCCTGTGGGGCGCATTTGGAGTTGTGAGTGTGGGGCCTTGTCGGGGTGCAGCGGAGGGAGAGAGAGAGAGAGAGAGAGACAGGGGCACACATCGGCGAAGGACCGATGGGTGGGTGGGTGGGTGGGGGGGGGGGACATACATTCCAAAAGAGGGTGGACATGTCGGGGCTCGTGGTCGGAAGGCTGCTTCCGACGTTGTTGTTGATTGTCATGGCTGAAGGCAGCGGAGGGGAATGGGCAGAAGAGAGGGTGAGCATGGTGGCCTACTGCGCCGGCGGTGGGGCGGAGATGGGATGGTGAGGGGAAGAGGCAACGCACTGGTCTAGGGGAAAAAAAAGGAAAGGAAGGGAAGGGCGCGGTAGACACGACAGGAGGGCTTCGATCTTGCGGACCAGGGGGGGGGGGCGGGGAGGAGGTGCGGCTGGGAAGGGGCAAGGGGGCGGTGTGAAGGGGTGGCGGAGGGGGATGGCGAGGGAAGGGCCTCGTCGGTGTGCCCGCCAACCGGGGATGGATTGGCTGGGGCGGTAACGGAAAAGTCCGTACGAGGGGGGCGGGCCGGCGGGCGGGCCGGCGGGCGGCGAGTGGCCCTGTTCCGGTGGGCGCCAACTCCGAGGGACGAAAGGGGCGAAGTGGTGGCTCCCTCTGTTTGAGACGGAAGTGGCTGGGGGAGGATGGGGACGGAGCCGGGGAGGTCGGGCCGGAGCCGGAGCCGGGGCCGGGGCCGGGGGGGGAAGGGGGGTCGACCAACGTGAATCCGGTCGGGCGCGGTGATGGATGACCACATGCGCATCAGGAGCGGATTGCTGGGGGCCGGGGGCTCGGCTGGGGTCGCCCCAGGGCCGTTGGTCATCCCTTCCCATGGTCTTCCGAGTGTGAGGTCGGGGAGGGGGGGGGGGGCGGGGGTGCGGGGCTGGCCGCGCACACGCGCCCCGATCAGGGACCGCCCCGCGAGGGCGTGCTATTGAATTCCCGGTCCTGGCTGGGCTGGGGAAAATAAGGCGGGCCGAAAATTGTCCCCAGCCGCCCCGTTTCTCCCCACGAGGGGGGCATGCCTGCGCTCTACTCGTGGCTCGTGGGTGGGGGGGGATTTGGGGGAAATTCTTGGTATTTTTCCTGGATCCCCACATGCTCCGGCTGCCTGTGTGTGTGTGTGTGTGTGTGTGTGTGCCCCTGCGTCCAGGGCCAATCGTGTTAGGTGCCCCAATGCACGACACCGGGGCAGGGGCGGGGGGGATGGGGGCTGGGCGTGCTTGATGCTAATAATGCTGATGATCGGCCCCTGCCTGGGAGGGCTCTTGAGATCTGGTCCCTGGGGCGGGCCGGGCGCCGGGGAAGCACGGCCGTTGGAGCTGGCGGACCCGGGGAAGCGCCCGGATAACGGCGGCTCGGCCGGGGGCATTTCGAGCCCGGCGGTCGGCGGAGTTGGAGCCGGCCTGGCGGGGATCCGGGCCAACAGACCCCCCTCCCCCTTCCCCGACCTCGCGCACGGGGCCGGGAGAAGGGGCGTCGGGGGGAGGGGGAGGCGCGGCGGGGCGCAGGGCAAGAGCGACGGGGGGCAGGGGTGGGGGCCGCAACCGACGCCTGGCGCCCCCTCGGGCGGCGCTTTGGTTCCCAGGCCAAGTTTCGGTGTTGGTGCGGGGTGGTCTCATTCATTTTTTTCCACGGCCAAGGTCGGCGCAGGCCGCGGGAGTGGTGTTGTCCTGTGCCAAGCCTGGCCACCAAATGAATTCCGGGGGCCAAGCATGTTTGTGCGCGTCTCTAGCACATGGAAAATTCGTCAGGCCCGGCTGGCGAGTCGTGCGAGCGCCCGGCGGCCGCCCTGTCGGCTGGGCGGTCGGCTGGCCGAAGGGGCGCCGCAGGTCCTACGGCTGGGTGGCGTCGTCTGGAAGGAGCAGGGGGCCCACGGGTCCAGGCCCGTCCCGGGGGAGGCGCGTGCGCTTGCCCTCTCTCGCAACAGGAGGCCAGGTATTCGCTCCGGACCGTCGCTTTGGGCACCTGCGTCCGAGGCGCATGCTCGACTGGGGGTCTTTTTTTTTTCTGTTTCGCCCGGTTCTCCCGGCCTCCGGCCCGTCCACGAGAGAGGGGGCATCCCCCCATTCGCCCCAGTCTGACTGTAGATCAAGAGAGTTTCAGGAAGCTGTTCGCCCTTCTCCCCCGGGTGGGACTTCGCACCTCTGCCCGGCCCTTTGCCTCGGCTTGGCTTTTTCCCGGCGTCCGGGGGGGGGGGGGGGGGGGTGCTGGGCTGTGCCCCTGCTGGCCGTCCCCCTCCTGTGGGCGATGTTGGCTGCCCGGCGGTCCGGACGGGGATTGGGTCGGCGTCCGCCGGCGAGCGAAGACCCCCGGCGCACTTGGATCCGGCCTAGGGGGGGTTCCGCTTCGCTCTGCGCGCCAGAAGACCCCCCCTTGGCGACGGTTCCGGGCGGCCTGGGCGTTTTGCCGCGCTCATGTGGCGCCCGGCGCATTTCACAGGCAGTCGGCCAGGCATGGATGCATCCTCCCGGGCTGGGAAATGCCAGCCTGCATCGGGATGCAGGCCTGGGTCGCCTCTTCTCCGCGCCCGGGGGTGTGTTGAGGCGCGGGGCCGTTGCGCGCGGATTCCCCGGAGATGAGTAACGCCACATGCGGTTCGGAGTATCCGTGTGCGCGTGTGTCCCTTTTGTGTGTGTGTGTGTGTGCGTGTGTGCCTGCTTGACCGCGCATGGGTCCACCCAATCCCCGCCCGGAGGCCGGGCACACACCGCCAAGTTTGCCGGGGCACCGGGGCCGGGAGACATCGGTGCTGCGGGGCGCGGCTCGGCCCTCCGTGGCCTCCGGAGTCTCGACTTTATGCCCTGCTGGCGCTTGCCTTCTGTGCCCGGCCGGCTCCCGTTGGGGGAGCCATCGCTCCGGGCCCGGAGGGGAGGCCTCGGGGCTGGAGCGCGAAGGGGCCGAGAGGTGGATGGCTGGCGGCGTCGGGCGCGGGGACGCGGTTTCCCCCGCCAGCGCCCGATATGGCACGGGCGAAGGGCGCCCTGGATGCGGGCGACGGCGGGGCGAGCGATCGCGTCATGGCTTACCGGGGCCGACTCTGGCCACATGAGTGGCAAGCATTCAGACGTGCTCTTGGCGCGGTGGCGGGAGGGGGCGCAAGGTCGCCTGGCCTTCCTCCCCACGCGGGGTGCGCCCGCACGCACCTCCGGGCCAGGGGTGCCCGCGTGGGGGGAGAAATGCCGCGCGCGCCTGCTCTGGCCCCGGGAGGCCGGGGTGGTGTCGGGAGAACCGGGCGCAACGCGGCGCGGCGACCCGGCGGAGCATGCCCCCGGCTCTGCTCCCTCCGGCTGAACGGGATCCCAGATCCCATCCGCCTCGCCCGGGGTGGGATCTGGGGTGCGTTGCTGCGGGGCTGAGCACCGCCCAAGCCGCCGGCAAGGGTGGCTCCGCCGCCTGGCACTTGAGAGGCTCCCCCCGAGGCGAGGCGCGCCCCCTCGGTCGGCGCCTTTTCGCCCCGGGCGGGCACACGACACAGGGGGGGGGGGGGGATGGGGCGAGGTGGCTCCGAAACGGGCCGGCTCGCCGAGGGGTGCCACCTGCCGGCCGCGAAGGAGGGCATGGCACTCGCCAGGCGAGGCGCCCCCCTGGCGTGGAGGGCCACCCACGTAAAGCTGCTCAGCCCCGGAGCCCATGCCTGGCTCCCCGCACATCGACCCCCGTCTCTTGCCCGTCTCTCCCTCTTCCTTGCATGCTCGTCGTCTTCCGGGTCCGCTCCGTCACCGAGAGCGTGCTCTGCCCACCATGCGTCCTGGGCTGGCCCGGCGAGTTAGCAAGGCCCTCGGCCCATTGCCTCGGCGACATCTCGTCCGGTGGGGCGGAGGGCGACCATTTTCCTTCGCAGCAATCTCCCGGCCACTCCCCTCCCGGGGCCCGGGGCCGAAAAGGGGCGCCGACAAACGCGCTGCCCTTTTGGCCCTATGGTTATGGTGCCGGTGGTCGAGCTGCTCGGAGCGGGCGGCGCAGCGCAAGACGCAGCCCCAAGGGCCACCGCCTGCCCCCGGGATTGCCCCGTGTGTCTGCCTTGATCCGAGTGTGCTGTCGCATGGTGGCCGGATACCGGCATCCAGGCACCCGCCCACCCGCCCACCAGATCGACGCCCATCGGGGCATCCCGCGCACGCGGGGCGATCTCGATGGCCATCCCGCTGGCATGCCACCGGCCTTGTCCCGGGCCAGCTCCGACTGACTGTGTTATTGTTATTGTTATTGTTGTTGTTGTTGTTTCTGTTTGATACCCCGTCGCCATGTGGCGCCCCCTCCAAGCAGCCCTTTCCTCTCGGCCACTCGGACCACCTTGTCGGCCCGGGCGTGGCACTTGACAGCCAGTGGGCTCGGGCTTTCCGTGCCCTTGGGCATCGACCTCCGCCTGGGAGACGCCGCCCAAGCCCCTGTTCGGCGAGCGTTCCGTGACTCATCGCACATGGGTGCCGGCTTCCCGGATCGGGTCGGCTTCCAGGCTGGGCCGGCGTGCGTTTCCCCGCCTCGGCTGTGTGTGCACCTGGGTGAGTACCTCGGTGCAGGCACGTGCGTGCGCACATGTAGGAGCATGCGCTGCATGGCTGCCCCTCGCGCAGATACACCGACACACGTCGAGCAGGGGGCACACCAATGCGTGAAGATACAAGTGCTTTCACACACATGGCCAGGTGTGAACACAGCGATCCAGTTCTATTACGACCCACATGCATGTGGCACATGCGGGCCGGGGGGG